AGTAGTTGAAGCTAGGTTGAGGCAGGAAGTGGAGATTTGTGAACAACAGTATGGTTTCATGCCTAGGAAGAGTACCACAGATGCAATATTTGCCTTGAGGATGCTGATGGAGAAGTACAGAGAAGGTCAGAAGGAGCTGCATTGTGTATTTGTAGATTTAGAAAAGGCATATGAGTGCCAAGGGAGGAATTGTGGTTTTGTATGAGGAAGTCAAGAGTGGCAGAGAAGTATGTTAGATTGGTACAGGACGTGTGAGAATAGTAACACAGTGGTGAGGTGTGCTGTTGGAAGGACAGAAGACTTCAAGGTGGAGGTGGGACTATATCATGGATCGGCCCTGAGCCCTTTCTTGTTTGCTGTGGTGATGGACAGATTGACAGATGAAGTCAGACAGGAGTCCCCATGGACTATGTTGTTTGCAGATGACATTATGATCTGTAGTGAGAGTAGGCAGCAGCTAGAAGAGAACCTAGAGAGGTGGAGGTTTGCACTAGAGAGAAAAGGAATGAAGGTCAGTCGTTGCAAGACAGAAAGGGGGAACAGTGAAATGGTGAGGTTACAAGGAGCAGAGGTGGTGAAGGTGCAGGAGTTTAAGTACTTAGGATCAACTGTTCAGAGCAGTGGATACTGCGGAAGAGAGTTGAAGAATAGAGTGCAGGCAGGATGGAACAGCTGGAGAAAAGTGTCAGGAGTGATCTGTGATAGAAGATTGTCAGCTAAGGTGAAGGGAAAGGTTTACAGGACGGTGATGAGACCAGCCATTATGTATGGTTTAGAGACACTAGCAATAGGCAGAAGACAGGAGGTGGAGCTGGAGGTGGCAGAGTTAAGGATGCTAACTCTTTAGGAGTGACAAGAATGGACAGGATCAGGAATGAGGTCATTAGAGGGACAACATAGACAGGAAGGCTTGGAGAAAAAGCGAGAGAAGCCAGATTGAGATGGTTTGGGCATGTGCAGAGGAGGGACAGTGGATACATTGGTAGAAGAATGCTAGAGGTGGAGCTATCAGGTAGGAGAAAAAGAGGAAGGCCAAAGAGGAGATTTATGGATGCATTGAGGGAGGACATGCAGATAGTTGGAGTCAGAGTAGAAGATGCAGAGAACAGGGAGAGATGGAAAACAATGATTCGCTGTGGCAACTCCTGAAAAAGGGACAAGCCGAAAGGAAAAGAAGAAGATTAAGACTGTATCCTGAATAAAAGTTTGTTTTTGTTCCCTCTCTGCAGAATGACAGACACAGTAATGAGCAGCAGCTCTGACCGCTGGATGTCTAATGACAAGCAGAGAAACATGCCTTCTGGGTAAGTGTGACTGTCACTTCTTTATGGGGCACAGGGGCTTTACTTTTGGAGAAAGTACCAGTATGAGTTTTCACATCAGGAATCAACACTTTGTGGTCTATGTAAGTGGGTGTGTTTGACTGCAGAAACTATGAACTTAGGACAGTGGTTCTCTGCTGCCCCTCCTTTGGTTCAAAAGAAATGTTTTGCACCCTCCATCCAACAGGACACATATTTTCAGACTTGTTTATTTCACACATTTTAAATGTAACTCTTTTTATACACCCTAAACCTGTTAATTTTATGCTAGCATTGCCAACTTTGATCAGTTTTTGTGTCAGAATTTGTGTGTGGGGAGGCGCAGGGGTGCCATGTGCGTTGTTACTAATGCTGCTCTGAGCAGATTGAACGGACGACAGCAAAAACAACAGCGAGAAATAAAAATAGCGGCCTCCTTTAGAATATTATTTTTCAGATATTAATTTTTACACCGCCTTCAACCAATCATTTTTGCCAGATGCCAGTCTCCTGTTAAACATTTACAGAATTGGACAATATGCTGCAGTCAATGCTGCAGCCCCCTCCCTCCCCCATTTTTAAGTATTCACTTCAACTTGCGTGAAGTTCCACCCTGGTGGGAAATGTTTCTTCTTCTGTCTGTAGCCACATGTTAGGGTAAGATGAATACTAACATGTCTTCCTCTTCTGCTTCCCATCCAAATCTCTAACATGTGATGTTTGACTCCAGTGAAAAAGAACAGTAAGTTTTTTAATCCTGTGTTTTCCATGTGACTGGTTTGTGTGTTTTGTGTTTGCTTTGTTGTATAATGACGCTGTACATCAACACTCTTCATTTCGACTAGACATTTTCACAGTCCAGCCTCTGGACTGTGTGCTATTTATTTATTCAGAGTGGAATTACATTTCGAGTTTTGGGTAACTCAACTAAATTCCTTTAAATATTGATATACAGCTGGCCCTCATCTTCGGAATGTAACTCCCTCGTTGAGTGAGGACTAGCTCTATTAAATGTATTGATATATAAATATATTCATATATTATTATATCTGAAGTTGTCCTATATATTCTATTTCTTTCCTACGGCTGCTAACTTTTGGCTATTTTTTTATGCTGTCTTCAGTCAAATAAATGAAAATACCTTCAAGAGTTGACCAAGTACAACATGAAGTATTAGCGGAATCCTCATTTTCCATCAACAACAAATACAAGAACAACAACAACAACATTGTTGTATATTTTGTAATGGAAATGTGTGGCTTGATAGGAGTAACTGGACCACACAGTCCGGCCCTGGTTCTGGTCCTGAACTGACAGATGAAGAGAAGGAGATAATAAACAGTGTGATCGCCCGGGCTGAGAAGATGGAGGCCATGGAACAGGAGAGAATCGGGTACAAGGATGAATTTCTTCAATGAAAAAACTCACCTGATGTCATTTAGACGTGAGAAAAACACAGGTAATTATTTTGGAATAACACTTCAACCATGTGCTGGTGATTCTGCTGCAGGCGTTTAATAAACCATCTGGATGACATGAAGAAGACAGCGTGCGGAGATGGAGTGTCCCGCTGTCTGCTTTGTGGGGAGCAGCTCAATTTACATGGCATTAGTGCTGTAGTGTGTGAGGACTGTAAAAAGGTTGGTGGTTTCAAATACATCCGTTGATTCATTTCCCATTCCAAAACAATGCTCATGTATTTATGTTGCTTGCTTTAAAAAAAAAAAAATTCAAACCTTTTCTTTCTCCTGTCTCCTGTGCAGAGCATGTGCAGTCAGTGCGGTACACAGTGTGGCAGTCGGCCACATGCTGTGTGGCTCTGTAAGATCTGCCGAGAACAGAGGGAGGTAAGAGCTTCACCTCTGAAAGATTCTTGCTATCCGGATCACAGTACCAGTCAAAATATTCTTGCTGTGCAAGGTGTCTTCAGGCAAGGAATGGAAGCAGCCGGTAGATGGTCGATTCATTTTAATAGCAAAACGTCAAACAAACAGGTCCAACAATAAAGCAAAATAAACGACTGGAGAAGTATTCAAGGAAATCTCGTACAACACTTGTTAATACGCAAATCCTCTCAAGAATAACTTCTAAAGTATCATTAGTTGTTTACGCTTACAGTATATACCTGTGTGGGGGGAGTGGTTTTCGACTTCCCAGGTGTGTGTTTAAATCTTGTAGGCCAATGGAAGAGAGAGGCTAAGCCTCTTGTGGCCGATCATATTATTGTTCTTGTATCGTGTGATGCCTGCAGTCGCCACTATGTGGCACTGCTGTTCCATGATTCAGCAGTGTTGGAAGACCCTTTTGTTGCTGAGTGGGGGGTAATCACAAGGGAAGTGGACGGAGCCATAAAGTCCAGTCAACCACAGGTGGTCATGTAGATCAAAAGGAATGGATGGCTCTGGGGTTTCCTGTGAGAAGGTAGATTGGGAGATCTCCCATTGTTCCCAGGGAGTAGAGGTATTTTAGAAAGTTGGTGTGAAGAGAATTTGGGGAAATTCTCTTTGAATGTGTGGGGCTATGTGACTGTGTGTGCTCAGGAAAGCCTTTTGGTGTCTCAGCAGCTTCCTGCTGCAGACCCAACCAAATGTGAAAACCACTGAAATCTAACACCTCTTACCGATGAGACACAGTTTTCAATTATAACCTAGCTAAAGTTAGATAGGTAAAGGCAAATTGAGAGGTTCATGTTGAAGTTCACGATACTATAACAGGAAAATGTAAGATCCCTGTAAGAAACATACACTGTATTTGACATGTCTGGATTTTAGGGACAGGTCCTGTGGTTGATCAATTATTGTTAGGACAGTTTTTGTTCTGTTTTTTAGGTTTGGAAAAGGTCTGGTGCCTGGTTCTTCAAAGGTTTTCCTAAACACTACTTGCCATCACCCATACCATTATCGAAACAAAAAGAGACCAGAGTCCAGGAGTCCCCAAAGCCACAAGGGCCCCCCAACCCTGAGCCCAGAGCAGCAGTGACCCAAGTGCTACCTGCAGGTAGATTGTAGCAACACAATCTCTTCGCAAATCTCTGCAACATAGTCATCGTAACAGAAGTCCTACCAGAGTTTACTGTTTATTAAAGTTATCTTTACTGTTTGCACTGACATTAAATGGACCTTCAATGTTCTTGGACTGAGTTATGGATATGAGTTAATTATTAGATCTAGTTTGCCAACATTTTGAGTCCATATGCAGGATCTTTCAGCATTTTGTAACAGTGCACTAAATTGTGAGAAGGTATAATGTATCTAATAACCTATTTTTTCTTAGTAGCCATGAAAACTGCTTGTACCTTTATTATTTGGGTTACAATATTTATATTCTAATGTGTGTTATCATTGAATTTTTTTTGCCAGTCTCTTGTTGAACATTTAAAGCATTGGCCAATATGCTGCTTTTCCATTTCATTTATTCATTCCACCTGCTCCCTCCCTGCAATAGCACTGTGCCCCCTCATAGGGGACACGCCCCCCACTTTGAGAACCTCTGCAGTAACCAAATGTTTTCATGGATCATGGGTTTGGATCAACGTTATTGTGTCAGAAATGTGTTCTTTTCTGTTCCGTCACTGCTGATTTAAGTTGATCTGTGCTTTTCCTTGTGGTAGCTCTCATTACAAGAGGTTTTACTGTATGTCAGTTTTAAAAAAATTGTTAGTTTTAATTCCATTCTGGTTCGACAGCCCTGTTTTAGGCATTCACTTTTATTTCTGACCACACAATGGAAATTACTTCTCTTCCTTTTCTCTTTGTGCCTTTGGGCTGATCGCCTTAATCCACAGTTTGATTGGTTGATTATCGTCACATAAGAAGACAATAATATACAAATTTATCAAACTCTACATTTTATCACAGGTTTTGAAAATGATGATCCAACGTAGCAGCATCAGTAACATGTAGAGGGGGGACTGAGCCCCAAGTCTGCCTGTGTACATGCAGTTACATGATAACATGACAGCAAAGGATAAAAGTTTGATTTGATTCATTGATTGAATATTTCAACTTTAAACTACTTCTAAACTATAACCAACTATAAACTATAGTGAAAATGGCAAGACAGAGGGGATTACCCTCAGTCCTTCCCACTGATCTCTGCATCAGGTTTATGTGGGTGGGGTTGTGCTTTGCAAACGAACCAAGAGCTGACTGTTCTGGAATTAAAAACTGCATTCTGGCTGCAAACCAAAGTCTCAGATTTGAAAAATCAAAATCCTTAACTTATTTTATTTAGTGTTATAACGCAGTGCCTGTATTGGAAACATGACATTGAATGTCTCCTGGACTACTGTTACAGTATGCTGTATGGCATTTATGACAGTGTAACAGTTTATAATATAATGTTTTATATATAATTATCTCTAAGATGATCTAAGAAGGGACTCACCCTAAACAAGTAGGCCTTTAATTCCAGCCAGGATAAAACCAGGGTTTGAACAACCTACGTTTAATTAAATTTGGTTCGCACACAAGTCTGTTTAGGAAACATTTTAAACCTGTAAATAATTTGGTGTTTGTTGTCTAAATTTCCATCAACCTGAATTTTAAATTACGTTTTTACCAGAGGGTGCAATTGTGTTAGTTTAGTGTATTTTGGGTATTTAGTCAGTGCAGTGACATTCTAACTCCAGCTTTGCTGTGTATTTGAATGTGTCCATTTGACCTCTGTGCTTGTTGCTTATGTAAAAATGCCAGATTATCTTTTTCTTGATCAAAAGAGGCGAAGATTACATTATGAACTGTATACTGATGAAATACTCAAGTTACTTATCAGATCACAAAAGTACTTGCCTGACTTTATATTGACTTGATATGTGAATAGACGTTTACCATGTTATGTCTTTCTTCAGCTCCTAAGCCACAGAGCCATTCTGGTTACCCACCTGTGCCCCCTAAACCATCCACTGTCCCAATGGCCACTGGTGGGGCTTGTCCTCAGGAGGTAGAGCAGGAGAGTCCATTGGTGATGAAGAAGATGGTTCCTGTTCCGAGCTCCAGACCTCAGCCTCCAGAAGCAGCCTCAGTGGGCCAGCAGGGTGAGCTGATGCCAAGATGTAAATCTTTTCCTGTGTCTTAAAGGTCAGATACATATTAGGTTTTCATTGCTGCCATTGGCAGGTAGAGATGACAACACAACTTAAATAATTCTGTAATACACTCTCATGCATTTAGACCTGAGGTTTAGTACCAGTAAATACTTTATAAACAAATAGACAGTGAACAGAAATGGTCACAGTGAGAGAGGGAGTCCAGAGTGTTTGGTGTTCACTCCATATGTATACCTTTCACATTCTGTCTCTGTATTTCTTAGGTTCAATGGCAGGAGATGGAGGCTCATTCTCCTCTGCAGCAGCCTCTGTGGAGCAGAGAGCACCTCCTGCAGTGAGGGAGGAAAGGAGGCAACCTGCTGCCCGCGGAAACACTGTTCTTGTTCAGCAGCAGCCTCTCTCAGCTGAGGAGGATGAGGAGGCCAACGATTATGACTCTGATGAAGCCAGTGAGTGAATCAACATCTGCTGAATGTTCTTATCCTCTCACGTGACTGTTTCTAGATGGGGTTTACTTATAGCTTGTGTTCTCATTAAAAACATATTTTAAATAGTTTTCGGTACATTGTACTGGATGGGTGGCGCTTTGGCCCAGAGGCAATGTCTCTGTCATTGGTGTGGAAGTCCAGGGTTCACCTCCTGGGCAAGTTCGAGTCCCGGTTAGGGTGGTTGGTACCTTCCAGTGGACTCACCACCTGCAGGAAGGTTTGTAGGGATTGGTACGGTGCAGTGTGATTTGGGTGGTGACTGCTGCCCCTGTGACCCGTTAACGGATAAGCAGATGAAAATGGATGGATGGATGTACTAGATGGCGTGTGCAATTTTTTAAGTATAAAAGCTCAACAGTGTTCACTATGTTGCAAATCTGCTGCATTTTAACACATTCATTTAATTCATAACAAATGTTTTTACCAAAATAACCAATGCAATTAAAACTGATGCTTTTAATGCATCACAAGTCAGAAAATCACTAGCAAAAAATCAATAGCTTGTAGCAAACCCAAACATAGCAAAATAAAATGGCTAAGATATACAATCAATAGCATTGAGAAATGATTGAAGATGTAGTCAAATATAATGTTAACTGTATGTAATACATAGGTAAAATCTAGCCCCAAACAATTAAAATAAACTATGGTCCTGTATGTTTGTATGGTGGTCCACAAATTTTCTGTTGACCTGTTATATAGTCAAGGATTCATGCTGAACAACATGGACACGGCATCTCTGACCCATAAATACAAAGGTCCTTGTCTCAGTGATCTGAGGTCAAATTAATGACCAGCCTCTAATTCCTCTTTGATTTCCTCTATTCATTCCTTTAAATCCATCCGGAAAAAAGTAATAATAATGTCTGTTCTGTGTTTCTTTCAGCCACTCTGGGTTCTCTGGAGTTTAGTCTGCTATATGAACAGGAAAGCAACAGTCTTCACTGTAATATCCTAAGAGGAAAGGTACTGTGGTGTCCACTCTAGTATCCTGACAGTAAAGGTATTGTAGTACGTAGTAAAGTGTCTGGGTGGTAAAAACCAACGGACTGGATCTTCAGATCAACTGTCTGTTGTCCTTACGTTGTGATGTAACGTATTACCGGTTTCTCTTCAGGGTCTGAAGCCCATGGACTCTAACGGACTTGCAGATCCTTATGTGAAGCTCCATCTGCTGCCTAGGGCCAGTAAGGTACATCATGTGACACACCTTCACTCCATCATGCTTTTACCTCTTATTAAAGATTTAAAACCACATCAAGCTGAGCAGAGCAGGAAGGCTGGTGATCAGGAAGGCTGCTATGTTGGCTTTGTGGAAGCTCACACCTGACACCTTGTGGTTTAGATGAGTACCACTTTTAATGGTCATTGAAGTTAAAGCTGGATGTGATCTCTAACTCTGTTATATAGATGACTCAATAGCTTCAATATTTTTAATGCATTTTATATTGATTTAAAACAAATACATATTTTTTTCAAAGTAATTTTAAATATCAAATCCTTTGGTTTAATTAGTCATGCCACAGAGCTTCTTTGCATGCTTTGAAGCACAAAACAACACTCACCCACAGAAAACCCCACCCCCTCCCCATGACCAGACCATGTGCCTCCAGCGTGAAGAGAGCACTCACCACCATCAACCCACGTAAAGCAGCAGGTCCAGACAACATCCCAGGTTGTGTGCTGAAGGACTGCGCCGAGGAGCTAAAGAATGTCTTTACAGACATCTTTAACACCTCTTTGGAGCAAGCCATTGTCCCATCATGCTTCAAAGTCACCACCATCATTCCTGTGCCAGAGACATCATCCCCAACCTGCTTCAACGACTACCGCCCAGTGGAACTGACGCCCATCATCATGAAGTGAATGGCTAGTCGTGTGACACATCAAATCCATTCTCCCCACCACCCTGGAACCCTTCCAGTTCGCATACCGGGCCAACCGTTCCACAGACGATGCGATCTGCTCTGCCCTCCACCCAGCCCTCACCCACCTGGACAAAAAAGACTCATATGTGAGAATGCTGTTCATAGACTACAGTTCAGCATTCAACACCATAATACCACAACAACTCATCTGCAAATTGGACAAGCTGGGTCTCCGCACCTCCCTCTGCAACTGGCTGCTAGACTTCCTTATCCAGAGACCACAAGCAGTACGTGTCGGCAACAACACCTCGAGCACCATCACTCTGAGAACAGGGACTCCCCAAGGCTGCATGCTCAGTCTTCTACTCTTCATCCTACTTAAACACGACTGCACAACAACCTACAGCACCAACCACCTTGTGAAGTTTGCGACACAACTCTGGTGGGTCTCATCACCAAGGGTGACGAGACTTACTACAGGAAAGAGGTAGATCTTCTGACCATGTGGTACAAAGACCAAGACCAAGGAGATTGTTGTCAACTTCCAGAGAGGCCACACCCAACACCCCCGCCACTGACCATCGATGGTCCTGCTGTGGAGAGAGTGAGCAGCACTAAATTCCTGGGGGTGCACATCAGTGAGGACCTCACCTGGATCACCAACACGGCATCACTAGCAAAGAAAGCCCAGCAGCGCCTCTACTCTCCTGCACAAACTCAAACGGGCAAGTGCTTCGCCACCCATCATGACCACATTCTACTGTACAGAGGAACCACTGAAAGCATCCTTTCCAGCTGTATCACTGCGTGGGGCGGAAGCTGCACTGACTACAACAGGAGAGTCCTGCAGCACATAGTGAACACAGCTAGAAAGATCATTGGTGCACCACTCCCCTCCCTGCAAGACATATACACCACCCGCCTCACCCGAAAAGCAATCACAATTGTGAGTGATCTAAGCCACTCCGCACACAGTGTTCAGCCCCCTGCCCTCTGGGAGGAGGTACAGGAGCCTCTGTTCCCGCACCACCAGACTCACCCACAGCACTGGACTGCTTTTATAACTTTTTTTGCTGCTAATCACACTTGACTGCATTGTACTATACATTAGTGTTTAGTTTTGCATCTTAATGTTTTATCCTGTCTTGTCTACACATGGGACAGTGAGAAACTAATTTTCAATTCCTTTGTATGTCTAGTACATGTGAAGAAATTGACAATAAAGCTGACTTTGACTTTAGTTGCCATGCAGTTGTTTATACTACACCAGGGGTGTCAAACTTATTTCACCGGGGGGCCACATCAGCAATACAGTTCCCCTTAAAGGGCCAATTGTAAATGGAAGACTTTATAGATGTTACTACTTCATAACGTATTAATTAATGTTTTTGCATTTGATTATTATTTATTCAGGTTACAAATATTGGTCATTGCTGTGTAATAAAAAACATAATTTATCAGGTTAAGAAACTCTCCTGGATGGACTTTTTTAATGCTTTTTTAAGCTCCCGCGAGCCCTATATAAATGCTTTGGCAGGCTGCATTTGGCCCCCAGGCCTTGCGTTTGACATGTGTACTACGCAAATTAAGGTTTTATTGTTAGCAACAGCTGCAGCTAGTACCTGGTAAACCTCCATCCAGTCTCTGATTTGTATCAGCACTGACACTTGTGTGAAGTGCATATGATTATGGGTTTACATGGGATGACGGTGTCTGAAGTCAGAAATTCCTAAGCACTGATTACCCATCCAAGTTTAATCTCTGTTAGGAAAAACATTGAAATAATGTCCACTGGTACCATCAACCATCTTCATGTATTTGTCTTGATATGATCTTCAACAAACAGGCCAACAAACTTCGCACAAAGACCCTGAGAAACACTCTTAACCCCGCATGGAACGAGACCCTGACCTACCACGGTCTTACAGACGAGGACATGCAGCGTAAAACCCTCAGGTAGGAACTTCACTGACACTTGCTGATCTTCTGCGGTTTTTATGTTTAGCACCTGAACTGTCCTCATCTGACCTGTGTAAAGGTGTTCACAGTGTTTCAGTCCAATCATGGAATTTTTTTTTAATCTGTCCTTCAGACTATCAGTCTGTGATGAAGACAAGTTTGGACACAATGAGTTCATCGGTGAAACACGAGTGGCACTGAAGAAACTGAAGATGAACCAAAAGAAGAATTTTAACATTTGTCTGGAGAGAGTCGTTCTTGTGAGTTGGTGTTTGTTCATATGTCCTCATCTGGATCTTCTAAATCTTATTCGGCTTCTCTAATCTCTACTCAGTCTTCTCAGACAAAGAGAACAGTTGGTGCAGCCAGAGGCATCTCCCTCTACGAAGATGAGGTGATTTCACCGTTTTTTCCAGGCTTGTCCGAATATGGCAAATTCTTGTTCATGTTATAAAAATACCACGAATGGATCCAAGTCATATATTTGATTTGATGACTTGTAATGATTGAGCAATGCACACTGATACAAGTAATGCTATTGTGGAACAAGGGGTTACATTGTGTTCTTTATCAAACCGGGTTCTATATAGAACTGTGACACTTAAGTGTATGGTTGCAACCCTAGACATTTTTATGTTGTCCTAATAAGCTTGACAGTTGTCCTCTGCTGTGTCTCAGACGGGGAAAGATGGTGGAGCTGTAGAAGAACGAGGTCGGATCCTGATCTCGCTCATGTACAGCACCCAGCAGAACCACTTGATCGTTGGGGTCGTTCGCTGCGTTCATCTGGCTGCTATGGACGCTAACGGCTACTCTGATCCCTATGTGAAAATGTAGGTAAAGCACTGAAAGAGAAGACATTCAGCTTTTAGTCAAGCACACTCAGTCAAACTCTGCCTGTTTGTTGTAATCTCCAGATGTCTGAAACCTGACATGGGTAAAAAGGGCAAGTGCAAAACTCAAATCAAGAAGAGGACTTTAAATCCAGAGTACAACGAGGTTTGTAGGACTATGTTCAGATGAACTTGATGTTACAGACAAAAATACTGTTTGTCTGAATACTGTTTTCAAAGCCAGCGTCATTTCCAGTGTTTAGATCAAAGGCAAAAAAGAACAAGAAAAACAAGCAAAGCACAAAGCAATCTAGTAGCTACAGCATGTCAGGTTACACTGTTCACACTGTTGTTTCTACAGTACAAAAACCCAACAGCTTTCACATAAATATTTTTATTATTTTGGAAGGAAAATCCTGTTAAGCAGTGGTTCTCAATTATTTTCTGTCACGCCCCCACATGGGACAGAAATGTTTTAACGCCCCTGCCCCAAAGTGAAATACTACTGAGAACCTGATAATATGTATTTTCTTATCTGTACAAACCACTGTATAAGGTGCTGCCACCTAGTCACTGGAGGCTTCTTTATCATTTAAGCATTACAGCAGTGCCTCCCACCCCTCCCTGGCCCGCCTCATTATTTGAGAAGTACTGGTGTAGAGTTTGTTTAAAAAAAGGTTAAAGGTTTAAAAGAAATACTCCTTTTAACTCTAGGAATTTGCCTACGACATCAAACACAGCGAACTGGCCAAGAAGACTTTGGACATCACTGTGTGGGATTATGACATTGGGAAATCCAATGACTACATTGGTAATCACAGCATCATCAGTCACTGCTCTGCTTCACATGAAAACATGTCTTCTCAGGTCTTTGTTCTTTCTTCTTCTGTGGTTGTTCTACAGGTGGCTGTCAGCTGGGAATCACTGCCAAAGGAGAGCAGCTGAAACACTGGTACGAGTGTTTGAAGAACAAGGACAAGAAGATTGAGCGTTGGCACACTCTGTTGAACGAGAACCACCATGCCAGTGATTAGCTATAATTAGGCCACGCCCACTACAGCATGAAAATCTGTCCTCACGTCTTAGTATCAGTTTGTCTCCTAGAGCAATTCTTTTTCCTTTCCTCCTTCCTATCCTCTTTTCTTTCTCACTCGGTGGAGTTCATGTACAGGTTCTGTGCCTGGAGGTCAAACAGCAACTGCTCATGCCTCACATCTTTAACCCAAACTTTTTATCAACACATCACCCTCTGTCTTTGCTACAGTAAGGCTCAGTCTCATTTCACTGTTTACCACTAATGCTCTTCTTAGGGAACTTCTAAAAGTGGGTTGCTGTAAACTGACATTTGACTTATTTATAGAGTTAATAACCAGACAAGTATGCGTTAATAGTGTCAGGTATCCAGGAGAATAACTAGAAGCACAGAACTGTATTGGTTCTTATAAGGATGCAAAAAAACTCTAGACGCTTTTGTTTTTGCTTTTTGATATCGGCATCCTTCAGGGGACCTCAAGAGAAGAACTTGAGTTTAGTTAAGTACGTAAATAATTTTGGCCTGATTCATTTGTTTCATTTATAATCTTGGAGGTTTGTCAATGACATATGTATGAGCCATTCTTTTATCAAAGGACGGCTGCTCTGTAAGTATACGTGTTCACTTTGGTCACAGTCATTTTAAATTCAGCCTGTTATGTGTGTGGCACTTTAGCCCAGAGGTAATGTCTCTGTCATTGGCCTGGAACCTCAAGGTTCACCTCCCGGGCAAGTTCGAATCCTAGTTAGGGTGGTTGGTACCTTCCAGTGGACTCACCACCTGCAGGAAGGTTTGGAGGGTTGGTACGGTGCAATGTGATTTGTGTGGTGACTGCTGCCCCCATGACCTGATAAGTGGGTGGATGGATGGATGGATGGATCGATGGATGGATGGTCTGCTATATGTTTAAAAAAATCTGATGAGCTATTATTGTTTTTTTCCGAACATTTGAACAATAAGTGTTGATGTGCAATTATATCCAATGCTTACAAAACCACTGATAAAAACCAAAACCAAACTGTAGTTTAAAGCAACAAACCCTTATTCTCTCCTATATGTGTGATGTATATTTCCATGCAGAAATGTTTACATACGAACATGCTCAGGTCAGGATGAACATCTGGTCTACAGGTGACGCATATTTTAGTGGGCCATGAAACTTAAGGATTGACTGTTGTTAATTTCTGAGTCAATCTGATAGCACATGTAGTTAAAGGGATGTTTCAGGTTTTTGTTGGAATGCACCTGTCAGATGACTCTGAAGAAGGCAACATTACAAAGAGCTATAGAATAATTTAGCGCCAGTGATGGTTCACTGATTAAGCCATCATTGTTCATGTGTCAGTGTCTCACTTCAAAAACCCAAACTGTTATTAATAGAATTTATGGTTTTGTGTCTGTGGCGCTTTGGCCCAGAGGCAATGTCTCTGTCATTGGTGTGGAACCCCAGGGTTCACCTCCTGGGCAAGTTCGAATCCCGGTTAGGGCGGTTGGTACCTTCCAGTGGACTCACCACCCGCAGGAAGGTTTGGTACGGTGCAATGTGATTTGGGTGGCGACTGCGACCCGGTAACGGATAAGTGGATGAAAATGGATGGATGGATGGATGGGTTTTGTGTCTGTTGATAACATGTAAGTTAGGAGTGTTTGAACTGAACAGCAACAGACAAGGTTAATTTCTTAGATAATTTCTTAGGGAATTAAGAAATATATATTAAACGTGTGTTATGGGTCAATTAGTAATTACGTTGACTTCACATTGCATGCACTGTGTTTCTGACTCTGCTTTGCCTGGGGTCAGTTTTTATACACTCTCTCTTACATTTACACTTTTTGCACAAAGCAGGGAGTGTCTGCCCTCCCCCTCCCATCACTGCAGGTTTATAGTGAATGTTAGTTCCAGAGGTGGAGGATTAAAAAATAGCTGTGAAATTTGATCATGATTGATCAATAAGGATGATGTTGTTTGCATGTGCATGTTTGCAATGTGCACAGATCTGGACAAACAATGTTTGTTTGAAGAGTAACCCCTAAATGAACACACCTGCGATTAAGTTGAACAAGATTTACTTGTTAAAGATTCCATCTCCCTCAGATTGAGGAGCAATGCGCAGCACCGGATTTGGCCACGTTAATTAAAACAAAAAATGGTTTTCAATTCTGATTGCGCTTCTTCTGCATCGTTGTTCACCCTCGAGTTTGTCACCAATTGCAGCAAACCAAGGAAAGCACACCTGACAAAGTGGAATGACCTGGAATCACTTTGTAATGCTATTTGTAATTTAACTCAATGTCACAAGTTTAAAACTGACAATAAAAATTCTATGCATGAAATGTCTTGTGCTTCAAGATATAAATATACATACATACATAAATATATACTTGTAAAAGAAACTGATAATTTTAATTTGTTTACACTTCTATTCCATGACATTCCTATTGATACACACTTACACACACATGCTGCATGACTGCGATGACTGTGGGTATAATCTGAATAATTTGGACTGACATATTACGCTTTAATATGAAACATCATTTAAGTACGACAATAAAAACAGACTATTTGATTCTTCAATCAGCAGAAAAGAGATTATACTGTCTTTATGCTCCAGTGTCTTGCTTCCTCTGTACAGCTGCTCTGCCTTCTGTGATTACCAGGATAGCCTCTAATGCACACACACACGCACACATACAGTAGGAAGCTCTCTTTGTAATGTATACATTAGTAAAAGTAGTGAATACACTCAGAGAATGCAACCCTCCTCCTCTTGTCATTTTTTCTATCAATTTGTTAACTGACGATTGTCACTTACACTGTAGACACTGTTAAATGTTTAAACACACTATTTGGACAGTTTTCAGTTGCTAAAATGTTTTCTTTGAAGTTTAAAGTTTTCTTGATTGTAAAAAAGTGTCTTAAAATATAGAGCAAAAAATAACTAATAATAATTAAGTTACGTTTTTAATGAGTAAAACAAATTCCCAAACTTATGATTGCTTGGAAACAATTTAAAACAGAATGTTGATACACTTATCTATTTACTACTCCAAAGAAAGCACAGTGTAAATTATTATTAGTTTGTAAAATGTTCATGACTTCTTGAGTTTGAACAAAAATTATTAAAGTAATTTGCCTTTGAAAAGTTTACTTTTAAATGTATCTGCTCACAAACACAAAAAGAAACTTTTATCGATCATTACATGATAATGTTTTTTTTTCCCCAGAGCCTTCTGTCTTGGTTATAATGTAACTAAACTGCTTTTGCTTTTTCTCTGTATTTGTAAATAAATGGTGCATGTGTACGATTCTGTATGTCTGCAGATACATTTGCATGTAAAGATTTTGCAGAGAGTTTACGCAGTTCAATAAAATCTGTTGAAAGCTGACAATTATGTGTCTTTAAATGTCTGGCTCATGGCCACATAGGCAGTCAACGAAGGTGCCATCTGCCAGAGTGGGAGCTTTTGCACGTAAAAACAAAGGAAAGTCAAATAAAGATCATAATAATTTGCAGCCCCAGTGACTGTATTTTTAACTTTCTTGAAAATAAAAAAGCACAAAAAACCCCCAAACCCCTGTTGTTTAGAATGTCGTTATTGAACATTTCCATTTCAAATATGTTGTAACTTTTCTAAATTACAACATATTTTATTTTATTTTTTTGTTTATCAAAAAAGCCTGTAAAAATGTCATCACGAACACCCGACTATCAGTTTTTGCACTTTTATACTGTACTAGTGTCGTTATTATCGTCTTTACGAGTTTATATTTTCAAATGTTTAATAAAAAACGCCCCTCCTTGAACCGCAACCTTAACGTGGTGGAGGGGTTTGAGTATCCGAATGAACCTAGGAGCTATGTTGTCGGGGGCTTAATGCCCCTGGTAGGGTCTCCCAAGGCAAACAGGCGACGGATCAGACAAATAGCGGTTCAAACCCCCCTTGGAGCCAGGTTGGGGCCGGTAGGCGAGCACCTGGTGGCCGGGGCCTTGTTCACAGGACCCCGCCGGGCTCAGCCCCCACAAGCCACCGG